ACAAACTGATATCGTAGGCATTAGTGAGCTGAAATGAATTGGTTTTGGACATTTTGAATCAGACAACCACATGATCTACTATGCCGGGAATGACAATTTGAAGAGGAATGGCATGGCATTCATCATCACAAAGGATGTTTCAAGATCTGTCCTGAAATACAATGCTGTCAGTGATAGGATAATATCCACACGTCTACAAGGAAGACCAGTTAATACAACTATTATTCAAATTTATGTACCAACCACCAAAGACAAAGATGAGGAAAATGAAGATTTTTATCAACTTCTGCAGTCTGAAATTGATGAAACGTGCAATCAAGATGTGTTAATTATCACTGTTGACTGGAATGCAAAAGTTGGAAACAAAGAAGAATCACCGGTAGTTGGAAAATTTGGCCTTAGTGACAGAAATAATGCTGGAGATCACATGACAGAATTTTGCAAGACCAACAACTTACTCATTGCAAATACCTTTTTTCAACAACACAAATGGTGGCTATACACGTGGGCTTCGCCACATGGAATACGCAGGAATCAGAATGACTATATCTGTGGCAAGAAGTGATGGAAAAGCTCAATATCTTCAGCCAAAACCAGGCCAGGAGCTGATTGTGGATCAGACCATCAACTGCTCATATACAAGTTCAACTTGAAGTTGAAGACAATTAAAACAAGTTCACAAGAGCCAAAATATGACCTTGAATATATCCCTGCTGAATTTAGAGACCATCTAAAGAATAGATTTGATGCACTGAACACCAATGACCAAAAACCAGAAGAATTGTGGGATGACATCAAGAACATCATCCATGAAGAAAACAAGAGGTCATTAAAAAGATGAGAAAAAAGAAAAGACCAAAATGGATGACAAGAGACTCTGAAGCTTGCCCTTCAGTGGAGAGTAGCCAAAGCAAATGGAAAAAATGACAAGATAAAAGGGCTAAACAGAAGATTTCAAAGAGCAGCTTCAACAGACAAAGCCAATTACTATAACGAAATGTACAAAGACCTGGAGTTAGAAAACCAAAAAGGAAGAACACAGTCAGCATTCCTCAAACAGAAAGAACTGAGGAAAAAATTTAAGCTTCAAGTTGCAATATTGAAAGATTCTATGGAAAAAATATTGAATAATGTAGGAAGCATCAAAAGAAGATAGAAGGAATACACAGAGTCACTGTACCAAAAAGAATTGGTAGATCATCCATTTCAGGAGGTGGCATATGATCAAGAACCAATGGTACTGAAGGAAGAAGTCGAAGCTGCACTGAAGGAATTGCCAAAGAACAAGGCTCCAGGAATTGACGGAATACCCATTGAGATATTTCAACAAACAGATGTCCCACTGGAGGCACTCACTTGGTTATGTCAAGAGATTTGGAAGACAGCTACTTGGCCAACTGACTGGAATAGATCCATATTTGTGCCCATTGCAAAGAAAGGGGATGCCACAGAATGTGGAAATTATCAAACAATTTAATTGATATTGCATGCAAGTATAATCTTACTGATTTTAATTTTTTAATTCAAAAACAGTTGCAGCAGTTTACTGACAGAGAACTTCCAGAGGTGCAAGCCAGATTCAGAAGAGGATGTGGAAAAAAGGATATCATTGCTGATGTCAGATGGATCTTGGCTCAAAGCAGAGAATACCAGAAAGATGTTTACTTGTGTTTTATTGACTATGCAAATGCATTTGATTGTGTGGATCATAACAAACTGTGAATAACATTGAGAAGAATGGGAATTCCAGAACATTTCATTGTACTCATAAGGAACCTGTACATAGACTGGGAGGCTGTCACTCAAACAGAACAAGGGGAAACTTCATGTTTAAAATCAAGAAGGGAGTGCATCAGGGTTGCCTTCCCCCATTATTTATTGAATCTGTATGCTGAGCAAATAATCTGATAAGCTGGACTATATAAAGAAGAACACGGCATCAAGATTGGAGGGAGAATCATTAACAACCTGCGATACGCTGACGACACAACTTTGCTTGCTGAAAGTGAGGATGACTTGAGGCACTTACTGATGAA